CCGTTATTAAAAAAGGATGAACTTTACGTGATCAACATTTGAAAAACGGAGATCGCATCTTCCTCTTCTTTACAACACGAGCCTGGGCAGGCCTATGCGTTTCTATTCGTGACAAACAGCTTACTTTATTGTACGAATGAACTGACGCTTTGTCATACTGCACTACAATAGTTCTTGATTTACAGATGTCAAATTGTTTTCTGTCACAACGGCCTTGAACTTTGAACCACAAGGGACGTTTGCATCGGTCTTCGTCAGTGGCGCCGTGTTTAACTGCCGGTGATTTCGTGTCTGTGTTGACATGGGCGAGCCGAAGTCTATATCCTTTAAGGAGGTGAAGAAGCATAATAAAAAGGATGACTGTTGGGTGATAATACATGATAAAGTCTACGACGTAACGAAATTCATGGAAGAGGTAAATATATTTGCTTCTTTTATCATTATGTTAAAATTGGAATGTGATGATCAGCAGCTCGAGCTGCTGTTCTCAACACGTTTCCCATCATTGGTTGACTATCTAAAAACTGAGGTCAGTTTAAATCCTCGAGCATCATCCTTAGTCAAACAACCTAGCTGCCGATGTTTTAAAATCCATGTCATTATCGACCAATACTTTAGTATTGGTCTTCCAAAGGAAGACTATATAACCTGGACCTTCATTATGTTATAATGATTGAGTGCAAGCCGTCTAAATTAATTTTGGTTGTTTACTTAAACGAACCGAAAGACAGTTCCGACAAATGAATATGGATTGCGGAGAATGAAGTCATTAAAGCTTGTGCATCTTTCAAACCAATCGCCGCTACAGTCTTTCTCTAAGACACTAATAATACTCCTTCAACATAGTCCCTCGCTCAAAGAATGCCTAACAATTCTGCGAACCATTGAAAACGAAGGGCTTAGCGCCTCGTCAGGCTGTGCTAACCTGCAGATTTACGACCTGTCCCTCATACCGCGATCGTTTAAGCTTCACGTTATCATCGCATCGTCTGATTGGGTTGATGCCGGATTCACCTTAGTTTCAAAAGAGGATATTCTTTTTCCTTTAATTCGACTGCAGACTTTGTTAACCGAATTGATGTGTCCTTATCTCTTCCTCCCACTAACCTATTGGCCTCTCATGCTTCTCTCATGAAGTCTCTCCGGTCAAAATTCCTACAAACTTTCCATCCTGCGTCCCACTATACTCAGGTCCCATTCTTACCCTTTGGCCATTAGCCTATAATTATAATCGCAAAAATTTCCCTTTGTTTATTTATATTTATTATATGTCCTTTTTACAGCATCCCGGAGGTGAAGACGTTATCCTCGAACAGGCCGGCGGTTACGCGACTGAACCCTTTGAAGACGTTGGTCACTCCGATGCTGCCCATGAGCAATTGAAAAAATATTGTATCGGCGTGGTCGCTCGCGTTTGTTCCCCTTTTCCTTTTAATCTTTTGTCTTATGCAGGAAGATGAGGAGTCCAAATATAAGTTCACTACCAGTTTTTCGCGTACTCGCGAAACCAGTCTTGCGTGAGTTTCCCTTACCTCTATATCACCTCCCTTCTCTATGCACAATTTCGTGCCTTTTCCTTCTCTGTTGTGCGTTAACTATTTTGCATAGATTTTTTTTTAAATTTTCGAGTCAGCCTGCCTTTGTTTGTATACTGGCTGCGGTAAGGAACCCGTCTTGGGAAACAACTCTCCGGCTATAGGCTTAACTTCACGTCAAGGCCGACCATTAAGTAAAAGTTTACTTAAATCGATGGGAGGTTTTTGCCCGTCCTGTCTATGGCGATAATGAGGTGTTGCGGATTCGCGTCTCTCCCGTTCTTATACGCATTTGGTAGCCACCATTGGGAGTTTGCTTCAGTTATGTCTTGTGCTCTAGGGGCCTCTCTTAGTCAGCTCCACCGAGGTATTAAAAACCAAGTACTGGCATAAAACAGACCTCGCCTGTAATTTGTTTTATTTTAAACTGTGTAAAGAAGTTTGTGTTTCGCAAGTATTTCCCTCGTTTTTATGCACACTCTTGCTTTACCCTTTGAGCTTTTTGACTCTCTAACTGAAAAACATAATTTGTGGGCCTATTATATATTGCTATTGCCTTCTTGCAGAATAATGTTCACGACACTCTGCTGACAGCATAACTGTTTTTTCCTACGACTGGCAGTTATACAGTTTTTGGTTTGTTCCTCCATTTGTAAGGCCAATATGCGTAATTGCCTACATCAAACATTGCTTTACCTTCCTTTCTTTTCATAAACTTGTCACATGCTCTCCATTATTCTGGAAAGAGTATTTTGTAGACAACAGTAGCCTAATAAGTCTTTACTTCCCCATCATGTTTGGGAGTTTAAGAGTACAGTGTTGCGTCTGACCACACAGCCGATCCACAGCGCCAGGTGCTCCAACTGAATTGAACTCGTGATAGCTATACGGAATGATTTTGCGTGCACATAAAGCTCTAATCGATAGAGAAGCTGTACTTTGGACATCCCAGCAGGAAGCGTGCGTCTTTTGGGCATTCTATCGTTTCTGTCCCGAAATCTACACAAAAATGTGGTATGTATGTGCT